TATATATAATGATATAATGGGTAGTTTGACAGCACTATTCCTTCGTGCATGTCAAATAGAGATCAATATGATACGCCCTGTCATGTTCTTAAAAGCATTTAACGACAAAACAAGATCTTCGTATAAATCATGGTATAATAGAGATAAACTTTAAAACATCTTGCTGTAATGCCATAATTATATATATTTTAATTCTCTCGTAAAGTCTACTAAGAATGGTGCCTCGTATACATTGAAGCCAGTCAGCCAATATGCATGTGTCAATGAGGATTCAACCATAGCATACCGTAAAAACAGTGATTTTATGTTTGACAGAGCTGTGTTTGTTTCGAACGAACCAATAGAGTCATCAAAACTCTTTGAGTTGAATATTGACAAAATCGATGTACGGCATAACGGTTCAATGGAACTTGGTAAGGATCGGACAGCTAATCCTCAACATTATTTTGCCTAAAACTGTCTATGATGGAATGGAACTGAAATAATAATATCATTACTATTCGTATACATTTTGTATTACCATTACTTAATAATAATGTAAAGCGCTTAGAAGCTTTGTTAAGGCATTAAGCGCTATATAAGAACGACATATTATTATTATTAATAATAATAATAATAATAATAATAATAATAATAATAATAATAATAATAATAATAATAATAATAATTGAATATTTATATAGCGCCAATTGCAAATTATATGATCAAAGGCGCTGAGCGTTATTACCCCTGGTCATAGGATAACATACAATGTCAAACCAGCACACAAAGTGCAACCTCTCTGCTCCCTGGTTAGCGCACTGCTTAGCGCACGAAACTAGTACATTCAGTGCTACAACATCCTACCAGGTACCCATTTATACTCCTGGGTAGAGAGAGACATACGTAGATAAAGTGCTAAAGGACAAGCGACTTGCCCTGACCTCGAGGTTGGGAGTCCAAGCCACAACCGATGCGCCAAATGCTTCTACAACAACATTGCAATTTGCCTTTAGGCTAAGTGATACGCTACTATTTATTTATTTAGGTATGTGCATGTACAATGAATTTCCAGAAGAGGTTTATTATGAAGGAAATGGATTTGGTAAAGGAAGTGGATTCTGGTTTTTAAGGTGCGTGCCTTAATTTATAGTCTGTGTTTATAATAATTGAATCTTTGCTAAAAATAAATATTGGCTTTCCAGTTGAAAAATTAGAATAAGCAAACTATTTCATGGCCAATTAATGAACACATTCATCACCTATATAGTTCTAATGTACAGTTTGTAGGTAATTGCCTAAATGCTCTTTTGCATAGTAATTTGAATAAATTGCTAAACAATTTAACGATTTTTGTTGTAAAAAGTAATAATTTCTTTCTATACGTGTTTCAATGGAAGTTAATAACTTACCGAATCCCTCAGCCATCTATGTTTTAATTTTTGATCGGTATTTTTTTTTAATCAATGTTGATATATAATTTTTATTGCCCAACATTTTTTCCGAAGAGACGTATCTTTCACATTATACCTTTATATTTTAGAGGAAATGATCTATGGAAAGATTTTACAAGGATTGGTGGGGGTTACCTACTTAACCTACGCAGTATACGCGTTAATGATAGAGTAGGACTGGTTAGACATCCGGACGGGACTATGGGTTTTCTGTACAACGGGCAGTACCAAGGACTTGCCTTCCGCAATGTACCTGGAGGTAAGCTTTGACAATATCATAAATATCTACAGTAACAGTGAACAAAATACTACAGTATTAGATCATACTAACTGAGCTATCCAGCAACACGTTTAATGAAGGTTAAAAGTTTATATTTATACCACCAAAATACTAGACTCTATCCGCTTAAAACAAAAGATCTAATTAGAAATACAAAAAAAAAGAAAAAAAATAATTTCAAGCCAGGACCCAAACCGCCGCGATACACAATTAGGCCTAAAAAAAGTTATGTTGGCCTAACAAGCTTGCAAATAATAGGGTAGGTAGGGATTTTTTTTTTACTGCCACAGTAATCAAGCCCTGAAATGGACCGTCTCAAGTAACTAACCCATTCAAGCTTAGGTCGAGCCTAGGAATCATATGCCTCTCTCTAGATACCGATTTGCTTAGGCCTTGCCCATCCTAGTCTAATTAAAAACATTGAGGATCACCATTATTTATTATTAAATATAAATATTGAACATTTTTGAATAATATGATGAGAAGATAAAATGAATTTAATATAATATAGGCCTATAAATGTTTTACAACCTTGTACCAAAGTAAAAATAAAAGTAAAAGTAAAAGAGCAAAAGACTCCAGCGACTTCTGTTAAGTTAGGGATCTCCTAAAAAAATCAAAACCCACTGTTATAATGTAACAGCAGCATAGTGCTGCTTTTGCATGCTGTCCTGGGATCGACTCAAAGGCTCCGGTTATTTTTGTATACAGTATTTGTTGTACAGTATGTTGTTAAATTTACTAAATTTGTATCGCAAATTTTAAATAAAAAAGTCTAGGGTTGGTCGATTTTTTAGGGTAGGTCGGGCGAGTTACGCCAACATAACATTTCTTAGACCAGGAATCTATTTAAATGTAATTATATTACATTACATTACCTTGGCCAGCACTAGTTGAGTCTCGGTCATCCTAAGATTTTTTTTTAGGAAAAAATAATAAATATAAAACATTCTGTGTTACTATTTTTACAACATTTTTGTCACAGTATCGGTAATACTGTCAGCTGCTTCACTATTTGCATAATCTGATTAAAAAATACATCAAGTCAAAAAGCAGCCCATAAATGTACTTCCTGTTTTGTTGACGATATTAATACATTTTTTAGAAACTGATTTCCATTATTCAGGTATTTATGGATTAGTAGCTACAACTGGCCAATGTGTCCAAGTGTCAGTAACTGAGGACGCTGGGCGTACCTTTGAGCAAGAAAAACCAGCCGGTACACCTAATGCACCTTTCGGTAAATAAATCAATCAGTTATTTCGACTCACCGACTGGTCAACCAAGTCTATATCATGTACAGTTTGTTTTGATAACTCAGTGTTTTTGGTTTTTTTTAGAATTAGAATGTATGGAAAGGTTCATGAATAGCAATGGCATGCATTACGAACCTATAGTCTATAAAGACTCAAAACAAAGGAAAAATATAGAGATGAGAGGTTAAGTTTGTTAATGGCACGCCTAAAGCTACATTTACATTAGACACGATTTACGACACGACAACGACACGATACAGGTGCGCGCAGTGTTGAAGAATACAAACTACGCGATGATATGTCGTCGTGTCGTAATGATATCTAGTGTAAATATACATTTAGGCTTAACAGAAAGGGGAGGCTTAGGCTTAAAAGAAGGGGGAAACAAGAACTATGTAGTTTGTTCCATAAAGAAGAGGTTCGAGGTGTGAATGAGTATGAGTAAGAAACACTATATGATAGGTGTATGTTTGAACTGGAAAATATGAGTGTTGAGGGCAGACCTACTCTGCTTGGCAGGAATATGGTATGGGAGAAGAATGACCTTTAGACCATTTGAAAATAATTCCAAAAGTGTACCGATAGTAGGCCTACCACAAAAGATCTGCAACACGGCGACGACGCGCAAGAGAATGGAGAGATTGGGTGAGTGTGGAATCGTTGATTAACTTTATTGCTATTGAGTACCAGTAACCGTTTCTATAAAGCCAGAACAATTACTTATGTTTACATATTTTTTTTCTTCAGAGTCATTTTCTATCACGACAGCTGGTACAGACTCTGTATCCCTTTCACGATTGCGTGTGCCATATGGACTGGACTTCACTGATGAAGAAAAACACCCAGAAATGAGTAAAGTTTACCAGGAAAAAGGTGATTAAACTAAACACTTGATAACTAGTAAATGTAAATAGATACGTTTACGTGTTAGGTCGTTTTCTACATTATGTGTCAATACTAGATTGTTTAGAATAGAACTTCTGGTTAGACTTAAATATTACAGTGCATCTCTTCAAACAATAAATACAATAACAGGATTATAAATGTATGTAGTCAATCAGCGGCAATTTGGCGCAGCGGTTGACGTTTGGGCTTTCAATCGTAAGGTCGGGGCTTCGAGTCTCCGCTGTGCAGATTCGGTTGTGTCCTTGGACTGTAGCTACATTGCTTCATTCCACCCAGCTGTATCAATGGGTAACAGCAAACTGCTGGGGACTAACCTGCGATGGGCTAGTGTCCCGTCCAGGGGGAGTACAACTCTCATCCGCTTCACACTACAGAAACTGGGGATAAGCTCCAGCCCTATGGAAAGGAATTAGTAGTCAGTAGTCAATCAGTGTTGGAATCAGTAAGGAATTAACAAAAGCATTGTTTCTATAATTTACCATTACACTGTTTTCTACATTATGTGTCAATGCTATATTGTTTAGGGCATCTTGTTAGGTTTTTCCAATATTACCTCTTAAAATATTTTGATAAATATTGAGATTATAAGTGTAGTCAATAAGCTAAGCAATTACATAAACCATTATTTCTATAATTAACAATTATTACTGTTTTATAAATATGTTTTCAGACGACACGATGTGTAACGTGTATGTGGAAGCGGAAAAGAATGTATTCACTCCGTTGTATAACATGAACCAGCGATCCTCTAAAGGATACCTGAATGAAATTGACTTAAGAGATTTGCTCGAAAGGTGTATTTTTATGTACAATTTCCATCATGACCCCAGTACACGCGTTGACCCAGTCTCCAAAGATCAAATGAAGTTTATTACAACAAGTGTTAAGATGAATGGCGAAATGTTGGAATTATTCCAAAGAAATAATTTACCGCCAAAAGCAACAGATAATTTACCTAAACGACGTCAACAAATATTTGATGCTGTGAGACCATGTTTTGATAACATTCAGGACATGAGCGGGATCGTATGGACAGGAAGTACGAGTGAGGGCTTTGCAATAGCAGATAACAGTGGCCCTGGCACACCATATGTGGACGATGAAATGGACCTTATGATTCCTCTTGCTATGGCCACTGAAAGCTCTCAAAGAAACACTTGTGAAGATGTTGTAATAGATAAGCAAACATTTAGAGGAGGTTTCAATGAATTTGAGGCAAATTCCAAAGAAATGACAGACATTAGGAAAGAATCTCTGGTAACAGAATTAGAAAATATCGGAAAGTGCCAGCGGTCTGAAGATTGCCCTCTTTTTATTTGGTGTCCTTCATGTCATCCTGGTTATGTGTTCATAGTTGTTCCAGAAAGTATGCAGTCTTACATAAGTAACAGTTTCTTTAAATACATTTGCGCACGCTCAAAGTCGCACAGTGGTGGCAATGATCTGTTTTTGACGCGTTCTAAGCTACTTGCCATTCAAGAGGAATATACCAGAGAACGCCTTTCTGTCGTACAGTCTAATATCACTCGAGTCAGAGATGACGAGGAGGGTCAATTTCAAGGACAATTAAGGCTTGTCCAAGAGGGGCCGGTGCAGACTATATCGGTTCGTTACGAATCAAAAGAACCTAGTGGTGAGTACATGCCATTGTATCATCATGTTTTTTTTCAGTTTAATCTTCACAAACATATATTTCAGTGCCGGCGCCGAAACTCTCCCGACGAGATGTCCTATTTGTCCGACAGCGGTCAAAATTCACATTAGTCCCACCCTGTTCAGAGTAGATTTTAAGAGGGCACATCTAAATTAACGGAAATGGCATTCTTGTACATTGTAAAAATGCTTCTTTAATGCATTGTTGTTCTCCGATGACATATTAAGCTTCTTCTCCGACGGGGTATCCCGGTTTCCCCGACGGAGTGTCCTGTGCCTCCTGATCCCCGCCGGCGGCTTGTACCATTTGTGGTCAAGGGGCACCTTCGTAGGGAAACCCTTGACCCCATTGCGGAAGCCAATCATTTTCAGGCATCTACATGTGCTAATTCTGATATAAACCTCTTATCGAGAAAAATCTTTGGTGTCGCCAGTCACATAAAAACGATTCATTTTCATACCGGTATCCATTACCTATCTAAACAGGCTCTGTATTGGAATTTGACCAAACAGTTGATGTGGCTATTGCATTAAATGGAGTAAATTGGCCAACTATCGCGACCCCTTGGATGACAAGAAAGCGACTTTGGCCAGAACAGATCGTTGTTGATAAGATAATAAAGGACGGTTATCATATTGTTCCCAAATATTATCCTGGTGGTAGTGATGTCGACTTAGAATGGCGATTGTCATTTTCTCTGGCCGAGCGTACGCTGGCCCACACCTTTACAGATACTCAACGAAACTGCTATATGGTTTTCAAAAAGCTGTGGAGAAAGTACTTAAAGGTAGGTATTTGTTGTAAATCAATTTTAACCAACAAATGTCCATTTGGTTACTCTAATTTGATAAAACTTGAAGAAACATATAGAGATTTGTTATAAGACATATAAAATGCGCCATCAGATATTAATTTTATTTCTATGTCTTCTGCAATTAGGTACCTAAGGTGCTTTCGTCTTATCACATAAAGACCACTATGTTTTGGCTATGTGAGAGAAGTTCTTCAAGCGACTGGATGGAATCCAATGTGGGTGAGAGATTCCTAGATCTTCAAAATTTTCTCATCCTGTTTTTACAAAGACATAATGTACCAAATTTCTTCATTCCTGAAAACAATATGATAAGTAATGTACACCAAGCAGATGTGAACGAAATTCTAGTAAAAGCAAAGGACATTCGACGTCGTCAACAATATTATCTTCAAGATCTTGTTGTGCCATCTACGTCTTTCAATTTTACTTCATGGTAGTATTCATATGTTATGGTATTCTTGCATGAAAAAATGCTTTAAACGTAACTTAAAGTTCCAATCAAATCTGAACATGTAATACGGTAAGAAAATTGTTCCTAAGCAATCCCGAATCATTATAATCGTAACCATCATCATAATTAATCATCATCATCATCATCATCATTATCTTCATCGTCATTATCATCATCATCGTCATAACCATCACCACCATCATCATCATCATCATTGGAATTGATATCTAATTGAAACATTTATGTCTACGCTATCTTACTTCGGTTAGTGTTGCTGCTTTGGTAGTGCATGGTATCAGAGCCCAAAGCAGAGGCCAAATGTAGTGTTAAAAATGTTATCAATATTCAAACTAATCTGCTTAAGAAACAGTGGCGTAACGAAGAGTTCGGCAGCTCCTGGGTAGGGGCCCTACATGTCTCCAGACGACGATGTGCCCGGGGGCCGCGAAGGGCCCCGGCGTTTTTAGCATTCAATGACGTATTCTGATACCTTGTTACACATTTGAAAGTTTATGTATCGTGATTTGACCAAACAAAATTAAAATTAAAATCAATAAATATTTATGGATATTTATTTTAACAAAACGTAAACTGGCAATAGTGATGATAATAAAAATGCCCCAATCAACAGTGGCGGCGCCAGCGTCTGAAATCAGGGGAGGGGATAAGTGAGGTGAAAGGTAAAATTTTAGGGGGAAACATGCTGGGGTGGCGTGGTTGAGCGTCGCTCAAAATGCCTTGAAAGTGGTCCAATATGACAATTTT